ATATATATATATATATATATATATATATATATATATATATATATATATATATATACTCATCAGACCAGAGAGTCGTATTTCTCATAGTCTGGGAGTGCTTCATGTGTTTTTTGGCAAACTCTATTCAGGCTTTCTCATGCCTTGCCCTGAGGAGAGGCTTCTGTCAGGGCCGTAAAGCCACAACTGGTGGAGGGCTGCAGTAATAGTTGACTTTGTGGAACTTTCTCCCATCTCCCTACTGCATCTCTGGAGCTCAGTCACAGTGATCTTTGGGTTTTTCTTTACCTCTCTCTCCAAGGCTCTTCTCCCAGGATTGCTCAGTCTGGCTGGATTGCCAGGTCTAGGAAGAGTTCTGGTCGTCCCAATCTTCTTCCTTTTAAGGATTATGGAGGCCACTGTGCTATTAGGAACCTTGAGTGCCGCAAAAATTCTTCTGTAACCTTGGCCAGATCTGTGCCTTGCCACAATTCTGTCTCTAAGCTCCTTGGGCAGTTCTTTCAACCACATGATTATCGTTTTCTCTGACATGCACTGTCAGCTGTAAGACAGATGTATGCCTATCCAAATCAAGCCCAATAGTTTAATTAAACACAGTTCGACTCCAGTGAAGGAACAGGACCACCTCAAGGAGGATCAGAAGAAATGAACAGCATGTGAAGTAAAGTATCACACCAAAGCGACCATTTGATATTTCAGTTTTCTTTTTTAATTAATTTGCAAATATGTCTACATTTCTGTTTTTTTTTTTCTGTCAAGATGGGCTGCAATGAAGCCATTTGCTAAAATAAAAAATATTGCAAAATTTTAGGGTCTGAATATTTTCCTACCCATTGTACTACATATACAGTGGGTTAAATAAGTATTGAACATGCCACCATTTTTCTCAGTAAATATATTTCTAGAGGTGCAACTGACATGACATTTTCACTAGATGTCCATAAAATTACTTGCTATCTGTATGAGGTGACTACCTTTTGAAGCTCATCAAGAGAATGGCAAGAGTGTGCGAAGCAGTAATCAAAGCAAAAGGTGGCTACTTTGAAGAACCTAAAATATAAGACATATTTTCAGTTGTTTCACACTTTTTTGTTAAATATTTAATTCCACATGTGTTAATTCATAGTTTTGATGCATTCAATGTGAATCTACAATTTTCACAGTCATGAAAATACACTGCATGAAAAGTGGGATTTTCGTCAATATGCGGCACTGTAGATTGTCGTNGGGGAACGAACCCTGCCCAGATCAGAACAGAGCAGAATGCTGTGCCATGATGACTGTTCTCTCTTTGCAAAGATTTTAATAAATGTGCCGACTGAGTGAAATCCATCGATCTCCGTTTATTTAACTAGGATGAATAGTCGAATACTTTTTTCTCACCACAACAGAAAACAATCAGCAAAAGTAAAATCAATAACATCTAAATACGAGCATTAATTAACAAAGGCTGAACAACAAATCAGACCAGGTTGCATTTAAAGTATATCTCAAAAATAAATGTTAAAGTTTTTTTTCTCTTTATGTTAACTCAACATTATCAAAACTTTAATCAAAACATCATCAGATGTCAGATTTCACAAAAAAAACACCAGGTCTCAGAAAATATACAAGCAGATTAAACAGGCAAAAACTCAATAGATAAAGGATAAAAAGAAAAGATTGTGCCCAAGATGTCAGGTAACATTTTCAATGCTTATCTGTTTTATATGATGGCTGATATGATCAGACATGATGAGAGAAAATAAAACTTTTTATCATTCATTGTGATAGCCAAGTAAACAAATGGAAACAGGGGAGTGTAATATACAATACTGCAAACATAACCAAAACCACACATTGTAAAAAGCCTGGATATTATAGTGGGGAAGCCTGATTATAGATTGCTTGTTCCCATGCACAAAAATACAGGTGCAAAGTCATCTAAGAGTTAAAGAAAACAGTTTTTAAAAGTTAGAGCTACATTCCCATGTTAATCACACCTTCTATGTTTGGTTATAATGTCAGATTAACAACGTGCAAAACCAGCATAATGGTAATTTATAAAGAGTGCAGCAGATCGAATCACCTCCCCACCCCTAAGACTAGGGTTTATATATATTAGTGTAAATTAATGAAAATTTTAAACAACCCCTAACTCACCCCAATATCAAGTTTTTTGGGAGATAAACTGTATAAAACAGGGTCTGCGGGGTGCTATTCCAATGTTACTGTGTTTTATTAATTTTTTCAGTTAAATATCTTTAGTTCTGTAGTCTTTGAACCATCTTACTGTTGCCCTCCTAGGGTTAAATGGCAGCTATTTTAGATTTATTTCCCTGTTTCTTCAAACAATACATGCTGGCACAGGCTTTCATTCATAGACCTGCATACAACTCATTCAGAAACATACCTCCACAGTCCCCTGTCCTCCACTGCCTTAGCTGCATCGGCTTTGGGCATTGCTGAGTCAGGACCATCTAGCGGCATAAACTGCTTTGGTTTCTCATGGCTCCACAACGCATCCCTTAACATCTCGGTTCAGGGATGTGAAGTGGCGTAACCAACAGTTTCCTTCTGCTCCCTCTCCATGCCTCAGTATGTCTAAGCTTGGCTTCCCTATTTATTATCTTAGGACTGTTGTACTGCCTCTGCTTGTCCCCACACTAAGCCCATGATTTTGGGATTTTTTTTTTTAATTTGGTCAGAATTTTTTTCTATATTGGGCGAGTTACTCTTTAAGAGAATGGAGACTATTCTAATAAAAATACAAGTTTGACCCTCTAGAAATTGAAATTACAGAAACCAAATTTACATGAAAAAATAAAGAAGACACATTTCTCCTTATAAATTGCCATATGTTTTTTCAAACATAGGTGCTTGCATGCAGAGTTTAAAACGCCTTCAAACATTTTGTTTTTTTATTTTTCTGATATATTTTGATAAATGACATCATATTTAAAAGCTACATATCTTTCACAGCTCGGTAGATCTGCTGTAATAAAAACAAAGCTAATCTAGAAAAAAAACGTTTTCTTTATATATCTAATTAGTGTTGTTCCTTTTGGTGTAGTTTATAAGAACAATAATTTTCAGCAGTCATAATAGTTTGTTATATGTCAATTGCAAGTGTCAGTTTGAGACACCGTTTATTTAACTGTTTCTTCCTGACTTCAGTCATAATGGGCTCTAATCATGTCTGTTATTAAACATAACTAGTTGTTATATTTACATTCACTCAGGGGTTTAGACACTCTGTTGGCTAGATTTGATATGAAATCCTGAGATGTATCCAAGAATGTAAACCCGGAAGAACTCACAGACTTAAATGCCTCTGTTGCAGCTTCCCATGGTGTTTCTGCTTTCTCTGCTGCTTCATATCCTTTGATACCACCAAATATTGCTCCTACTCCTGCAGCTGCAGCCAGTACTGGCATTCCCACTCCCATCCCTTCTCCTATACCAGTTGCTTGAAGACCTCTTGTTCCTTCAGACCCCTTTCCTTCTTGCTCTGTTGACACTTGTTCTGCTGCTGTTGGTTTTCCTGCTGTATCTAAAGCCAGTTTTGCAGCGGTTCCA